AACATATCAACTAAAAAATCTTGAATACTTTCACAGGATAACTCGTTAATAATCTTGTCACAGTCTGATAAGTGGTTGCCGTACACAAGCCACATAACTCAAGACTGGAATGTGCAGCATTCATCCTGCCGCTAGCCATTTAAATTTTTGAGCAGAGTGAGTATTTTTCATTTTAATGCACCCTTTGTACCTTAAGATACAACGGTTACTTCCTCTATCGTGATCTCAACCTGAGACGGATGCACTGTCGCTGAGTTTGTTAATAGACGGACTAGTTGTGAGAACAGTGTTTAATGGACGTCCATTCAAAAGTTTCAAGCCACTACTGACAAGTTGGAGCAAATCCATTTGCTGTCATACTTTGGTTTCTATTTTTGATTTCGTTTAATTTTGTGGCATAGGAAACAAAAATCAACACGGTTTTGGTGAAACAACTAAAGGTTACTGGGAAAATTAGTTTAAAATCATTCAGAATAGAAAACAGTTCATTATGACTGGTCAAGAGTTACTAAGCAAACTGACTAAATTTGAGACAAGAGAAGAGGAAACCGAGTTGTCCTATGTGAACATGGCACCTTTCTACCCTTAAAATTAGCATACAAATGAATTCTGAAGAACGTCATGCCACCCATGGTCAAATCAAAACTGTGCATGTGCCAGATGATGAACACATCTGTATTCCATAGTCTTTCCCTAACAAGAACCATACATAAGCTACCTAAAGATGGCAAATTTAACATACCGACCGAGCGGGACAATAAGTTGTTCTTCTTGAGTGTACTGACAAACTATCCTCGGCTGTTGCGCTGAAAATCTGCTGTCACACTGAAGATCTTTGTTTATCATACCAAGAACACGTACGGATCAATATAACAACCTGCACGGGGGTTGCCTGACTTGACCTGAAAACCAGCTGCATCAGAGTTCTGCATACAAGAGTTGAAACGTGATATGACACCATAGAACTCATAAGAAAAACAGAGGAATTCCTGTGTCGAATAGTTCATTATAATGCACACTCATAAACGTTTTCGGATGAAGTGCATAGCCAAAGAAATTGAATTCAAACTATATAAAACTTGATAAAACAGATTGTTCTGCTTATATTAAAACCATAGCAGAAATGAGATCGATGAGAACGCAAACATAGTCTGACGTTTGCAAACAGATAAACCACAACTTCGTGCACTGTACTATAAAATGACAACTGCAATTTACAGATTGTGATAACTGGTCACATCGGAAGAAATCTATCCAAAAGTATACACGGAAATGAACTGGTCGTCCAGAATTACATTCGATTTTTACTGACCTTTGTCCGAACCAATGGCATTGGTTACATATCCACTCTGAGCAGCTCAAAGGTTTTCAACATGGCGTAAACCACACGTGGTGAGTGATTTATGAGAACCTGCTGATCGGCAACCAGTTTAACAAATAGAAAAATAAACATGAACAGAGTACACCAGTTACTAAGACCGAAAGACTGATGAAGACGTAAACAAAATTGATGTCAGATTTGAGAAGCACATTTCAAAAACGGAAAGAAATAACGAACCGTAGTTAAGATCAGAAGAACAGTTTACTTTTGTTTAAATGAAAGAAAATTTCCCTTAGAACTCACCAACTTACATTTTCAGACCCGTACTATCTAAGGACATTGTATTGTTTTCAGTTATTAACTTAGATGCACTTACCTGAAAGTCCACACAGTTCCGTACAATAAAATATGTTAGGTATTGATGAGTATTTTATAAATGTGTATGTGAATTAACTCAGAATTAATGCATACCGATAGTCCGTCTATGTTTATATTACAAAATATACATTACTGCGAGGATAGTCATTATTGTTCACTGCAACATGAAAAACCTTAATATATGTACACAACTATCTGGTCACTCATCCAGTTCGTTATCTACACATTCCCATTTTCTGCCTGAAGTCCGCACGTAAAATGCACTATCGGTCAAGCGGAAACTGTTTTTGATCAGTTTCAAAATTCCATCAGCTTCTGTAAACAGTCGGCGGGAAAAATCTTCAGTGTGCAGGGGTACAGTTCCGCCTACTTTTATCTAAGCTGGAAACATTACAACACATCGGTGAGTGAAAAAATAAATTTAGAATATGATTCGTATGATGTAAATTATACAAATCAACCGCATTAATTGCTACGAATCCGTACTCAAGTTAATTTAACACTCAATGCAAAGTACATATCCATTAACCGCTCGTTCCAATCTTCATAGACGAACCTAACTAACACCGTGAATCTCAGGCAGACGAGCATTTGTCAGCAGATTTGAGATATGGCTTCATTCACACTTATATGTTCACCGAAGCCATGAGAGCAAAAAGTATGTCTAACAAGTTGCAACAAATCAGAAATCAAATTACCTTGCGGTGCAAGTTAGAAAAAGATTTGAGTACCACAAAAACTATAAATAAGAAGAACTCTATGTCACATTCAGTGTACAAATCAAGTTATCGAGCATAAACGTAAGCTACTGTGTCAGAATGGAAATTAGCTTTTACTGATCACTTTTCCATCTTAAGACTAAATGGTCTTACTGATCTGAAGACAGATCGAAACGACAGCACAAACAGCCTACATCGTGACTCACATGTCTGTGAGATTACGTTCACCATCAGTCGCTGTGATACAGTTCATATAAATACTACCGGTCGTTTATTATTTGTGTAAAATATAGCACGTTAAGGAGATGATGATTATCTTACACGGCGCTTGATCGTCATTCTGTCTAGCCAAACAGTGTTGAGAATGAAATGTTGATCACCGTCTCTACCAATTTGGTTCACTACAATCGCTTCTTTAGCAAGAAAGCCCTCCTTTTAGTTCGTTTGCCGAGTTTCACGAGATCAAATAAAAATGGTGAGGTTTCAAATAACGGGTGTTAACGAAATCATTCATGCTTAGTCGCAAAATTCTGAACGTCGAACTTGGAAGAGGCTGTTACGGACACTAAATCTACCACGACCTACAATGAACCGAACTTGCGACTTGGAATGTTTGTTGTATAATCGTTAACAATTACACAGACATCTACCTCTTTTTTCGATTGACCTTCTAAACGGTTTCATATTCACTGAGTTTTAGGTAAACAGAAATGAGTACACAATGCATGCTCCTTGTTCACTGTTTTGTGATTATCGTGCCCTTAAACCATAATCCACATGATTTTGGTTGTGAAAAAAATTTCTAGTGATAACATTCATCAGTTAAGGCTTTAGGGTAAGAAAATGTAGAAGTATAAATAAGGATCGTTAAAATTTCGTGTCGAAATTTGGTCAATTTTTAAGTTATCAGTGTCACTACTTAACTGTTGGTGAGTCACTACGTGAGCGACATTCACGTGGAATTCAAGCTGTTTTGAAAATAGGGCATATTATCTTAAAAGTCTTCAAAAGAAGAGTTTGAACAATAAGTTAAATTCATGGTAACCAACTTTCAAATCTTTCGGCAATCAAACATTTCCTGAGTGCACACCAGGGTATTACAGAATACGCAACTTTCGAGTGAATAGGGTATGAAATGTGCTTCTTAGTGTGAGTTTCTAACCAATTTGTGTATGATATTACTAGGACGACACCTGCTCATCATAGTTTTGTTGTCGGATTCAACTGAATTTATACTTTGATATACTGTCAATGTAAACAACACAAGGAAAACGTTGCTGCGTATTTTTGTAGCCCATAAAGCAAACAAGCACCGAGAAACTGAATCAACATCTGACGAAACTTGAACTTCAGCGTAGTAAGTGAATTGGCTTTTACATCAGTTACAATGTGTTTCTACGAAGTTTCACCGTCATATTTGCTCACAGGTGAAGCTATCACTGTTTATCTGTACAACGCCACCCTGTGGTATCACAGAAAACTTTCCTAGTGTGTGTGGCTCCCGTGAATATGATCGACTATCACTTTTCACACATGCAGTTATGCAGCTGATTCACCCCCTCTCCCACCTATGTTGAGAGCAAACCTATCCGCAAATGCTTTCACTTACCAAGGTCGAACTCTATGATTTGAACATCTATGACAAGTCGTAATCTCTTTTGCGTTATTGTACCGCAGAAGCACTAATCTGATAACTGGCAATTGTGTCAACCTGGCGAAAGTTAACTGAATTACACTGCATATTATATTTTGCAACAGAATGACGGACTTCCACAGATGCTTCTTAACACTATCATGAGAAAAAAAGCAAAAATTCACTAAGTTCATTCGATTGCAATAAAATCTTAACTGACTCCCAATATTTATTTTACGGACGTTGGTCTGAGGACAGTCATTTGGGTGTCACCATTTATTAAGTTGTATATGAACAAGCGATCGTGGAAGAACCTGCGATTAATCTAAATGTCATAAACTGGTCACCTTACATGTCCATGTTTTATGTGAAGAAACACAGTATAGCATACGGATGACTGACAAGAAACAAAATCCTTTTTTTGAGTAGAATAGACAGAAAATGCAAATCACGATATAAATTCATTTCATATAATCTCGTCCGTCGTAAACGTGTTTTCATGCTAGTCACAAGTTTACGACTGACGAGAATGTTTGAAATGAATTCAAATCGTAATTTGTGTATTCTGGCTATTCTAACCAAATGGCTCAAAGGACACAATATTTCAAAATAATTTTTGCCTGCCTAACTGATTCACAGGCTGGTTGGGTTCCCGAACTGAACGTTCATAGCAGGACCTCTTGGACTTATCTTCATCAAGCCAATCGGATAACCGTTATCACTCACTTAGATATTGCGGTTGTTTAAACAATAAATAGATTTCAGACGAGACCCAACTATGAAAAGTCACGGCTCCAGGTGGATTCAAACCATCGACAGAAACAGCATAACTAAACGCCGCAAGCGCCCTACCAGATGAGCTATGAAGCCATGTCTGGAGCTCGAAAATTTCACACTTTGGACGAGTGGATAACTAAGTTTAAATGTGAAATTTCCGAGCTCCTGGCGTGGCTTCGTAGATCAGCTGAGATAGCGCTTGCTACGTTGAGGCATGACGTTTCTGTCGCTGGTTCGAGTCCAGCCGAAGCTCTGGCTTTTCATAATCGAATCTCATCTAAAATCATTAGAAAATCTGCCAAACTACCTATTAGTAATATATAGATTACTCACTGCGGCACAAATCTCGACACTACTGTATGGGGTTTGATTACGAAAGTATAACATGCATCATGCCATGAATAGCACAGCTGGACGAACGTAAAACGGGCGCATACATTGACAGTATGGTTGTTCCCAGTGAATATGAGAATGAGGCTGATTAATAAAGCAAATGGAATGTGCCACAGCTAAAATGCTTGTGCAGCGGATATTCAAGCAACGTGCATCGTGACGGTCAGGTTATCAAGTCACATTGTCACTGGTTGCTCGATTGCATACAAACTTCCAGCTGGCAAACCTTCTGCCCGTCCACTTCCGTAGTTGATTCGTCTCCATCCTGGTGAGTAACCGGTTTAGAGTAAAAGTAGAAAATTGATACCGAGCTTGTATTTTACACAGCATTCATCTAATCATCCGCTGTTGCAATGGTAGTCAAAGTATTAATTTCAGATCGATGGTGTGTTGTGTGTACGGCTTCCAGACAACTCTACATTGATTCCCTCTGGAGTAACGACACGGCTGGATACCGACACCTCTGACCAGTCTCATTCTTAATATAACTTTGTTTATCACGATTAGCATCAGAACTGTACAGACATGATAGAAATTGTTGAAAACATTTTTGTCTACAAACGTGCCTGTGGACCTATTTATCGCAGAACACTTCAACGACACCACCCCACGGCCTTGACTAAGAGTTAGCAAAATCAAGCAGTTTTCTTTCTTCCAAACTGTAGTTAATAATGCAAGCCATGGAGTGACTTTCAAAATAGACACAAACTTGCGAAAATATTACATAATCCACCTTATACTAATAAAATGCAAAATGTATTCCGTTGTGTGGGACAAACTTTGGCACACGTGACATTCATTCCGGTGCAAATGTAATGGTGATTTAATCAACGGGCCTTTGTCAGTCGAAAGTGCGCTTTTATAGAAAAACAAAGGTAGTAACTTCCGGTAAAGTATTTTTTTGCGTCACAGAGAAATTTTCTCAAGAGTCCAGGATTCAGCCTTACTAAGCGCGGATACTTCACCAAAATTAATATGATTATAAAAGTACGTGTAATTCCAGACAGGCTATTATGGCTGTTGTACACCAGGTAGCTTTGTCTGTGAGTAGCACAATAAGTACATTCCGGGATTCAAGAATAGGTCTCAACGCCGAGAAGACGAGGGACCAGAAGCGACTATTGGAATAGTGTATACGCATAATGGGGGACATACCACCAAAGCGAATGATAATTTACTATTGTCCAATGTGTTTGAGTACACTTCAGCCCAGTACATTCATGTACACATGCGTGGTTTGTTTTAACATGTGAGAGATCTCACGCAATAAACAACTCCGCAGACCAGGCGTCTCTTGCGGTCACAACAAAGCTGAAAATGGAAACAGTCAACCAAAACGGCATGTGAACAACTAGCAGTTGGCACATTCAAAGGTGTTTTAAGAGTGACAGGATGAGACCTCCAATCTGCCTGAAATGTTTCCGAAAACCTGTGAACTCTGGTCGGATAGGCGTCGGTGGTATACTCCCACTCACCTGTTATATAGCCTAGGAATGTTTCTACATAATTTCATCCACAATCCGACAGATAAGGCAATAGAATCTTATTCACCGCATAGTTAATCTGAAGACAGATTGTATGTCTTTGTTGCACTCCATTCGGAATATCGGAGACCAGCGACAAATTGGCGTAAGCACAACCACAGGCTGATGCCCACCAGTAAACCACTTTCAGGTAGTCGACATTCCTCTTGAAAGCATCCTTTCTTGACTCATAGTTCCATATGGCAACTATGTCAACTCAGTCAAAGACAATATGGTATCTAAAAAGACCACTATTGTCTATCTGCAATGTGAATCTCGGCGTTTGCACATCTGGCCGCGTTAGAGTTGTGATCAGGACAACAACAGCCGGGACAAATCCTCACGCCAGTGGTGCTCACGCGTCAGATTAGTCCTGCACAATGAACTAACCTCACGTCGCTTTGACGCAAAAGGAAATCGGGTAAAGCCTTCGGTGGTTTGCATAATGAGCGCATTAGCTACGTTACAGAATGCATCTGCTGCTGGTCGTAACCCTGCCATCCGGAACTACTTCTCTAACCCAGACTTTTCGAAGAATGGATCTTTGACCATAACTTGACCCACATCTCTGTAGGCTCAGAAGAGACTTGTGTCAACGCATAGATGCAACGGATTATTATTACCGCCTGTTGTACGGGAGTGTAAGAGTGGCGGCTGCCTTCCCCATACAGATCAACGCCTAGATAGCGGTGCGGAAGCCTTCAACTAATGTTATTATTTTCGAGGGATATGCAATGTGCGGAAAGTTCATGGGTAGGTAACCGTTTTTTCTCGTGATTGCTTCTCTGTTGCAGCCTGTAAGAGTATATACAGAAATATAAAACGAAATGTTTATAGCAAGCCATTCTTAATGAACTTATGTTACCTATAAATGTGTTGGTGGGAATCCAACCATGCAACAGGTTCTCCGCGTATATGCTTGGGGCCAATCCAACACGGGTTTGGTCAATTGTGTAAGTAGCACAGTCATCAGACAAGCATTCATTGTGCGCATACTGTGACTCAGCTGACTGTCCTTGTAATTGTAGCATGCTCGGACTGCATAACGCGGTATTCGCGTTTCCGGGCCTACGTTGTTTTTACGTATCACTGGAAGAGCAATTATCTTTCTCATCTCTCCCGTAAGCGGAACACAGTAATGCAAGTTGCATATTGGTTGTCAATGCCCATTCTTCAGAAACAGACCATTCACCACACTGGAGCTGTATTCTCTGTTGGAAGTCATTAGATTACGAAGATCAGGTCGATCTAATTAGTGGATCTCAAAAGCATTCAAGTCAGACGGAAAGGCTGTCCCGTGCACAACGCACGGTTTGAAAGACATGGGAGTTCTGCCGGAAATCTTGGAAACGGATATGTGAGAGAACGATTAACGAAAAGCGGACTGTCTCACAGTGCTAACAAGACAATTTCACCAACCTTCGGGTCGACATTGCACACAATATGGCATTTCCAGCTCCCCTTCACCTTGACAACGCCAGAACAAATAACGTGAAATAATTTTGAGACAGCTTTCTCACGGCTTAACACTGCATATTCGGGCAGCTTCTAGAAACAAAATCAGGTAGCAGCCAATGGTCAGAGGTCGAAACATAACTATTGTCAGCCCAGTTTCCCATTTACGAGATTAAACTGCGATCACTTGGATGGCGCAGAATGTAGTTACTACCCGGTGATACAGCTGCTCAACAAAGTCCCAGAAACACGAGTGCTGAGTCGTGTTGTTGGTGTATATTGAAGTCATTATGTTGTATTGTTATGTTAGACATACCCAAGTCAGTGCCCTCCCCAATGTCCCGCATGCGACTGTAAGCCATACATCTGTCTCCTTAATACTTCAAATTCTCAATGAATTAATCTGATACGGTGTGTATACAACAATCTATTCTGCCTGACACTGATGAAAAGCCTTCCGGTGGAAAAAACGAAGAGTTCATCTGGAAAGGTTTGAAGTACTGTGAAATCCTATTGTTATGGACCGGCTAGTTTTCCATTTGACCTGCATAAGCAAGAACAGGAACAACAACTGGAGCTTTGAAATCGTACAACAATCAGAGTAGCCCGCAGATACATGTGAAACTTCCCGTTCTATTAAGACACCAGCGTAAATTTATTAGCATGCTATTTGACAGCACAACTGCTTAACTTACGGTGCCATCTCAAACTGACGTGCAGCAGATTCAGCGACCATATGGAATGTTCAACCCAACTACATAAAACAAAGCCTGGATTGGTTCAAACGTCACTACCGGCAGTGTTCCTATGCATGAACCAGCCAGCGACCTGAATTGTGCACCAATAAACACCTGTTCAATGCGGTATACATCCAACCTGAAATAAAAGGCGCAAGAAGACGTGTGAAAGCGAAAGAATGGCTTACATCCATGGGTTACTGATAACCAATAGATATTTATTTAGAAGATATCCATTTTTGAAAAATCTGGACTTTGGCTGGATCCGAACCTGTGACAGAAACACCATGCCCAAACGCGACAAGCGCTCTACCAGCTGAGCTACGAAGCCACGCCGGAAGCTCAGAAATTTCACATCTGGACCTAGTTACCCACCCAACCAATTGTGTCATATGGAATCCACCAAATGATCCAGCTGACTGACTGCCCAAGCAGGATTCCTGGATCAGTTCACACTGGAATCCACCAACGCCACCGATGAGCACTGACATTGAAGTACTGATAAGGAGTTTGACAGATTTGATAGTTTCTGTCGCAGGTTCGAATCCAGCCGAAGTTCAGATTTTTCACAAGCGGATCTCTTCTAAATGATCAAACCTGCCAAACCACTCATCTGAGATTTGTTTTTATAAACGGAACATCATTCACAACTGATCTCAGTCGTCTCATTCTCATAGACTTCTTATCTGTTATAACTCGTTACCAGTGCATACCGTGGCCATGACCAGGACCAGAATTCGGGCCACAATTTCGCGAAGCAACTGTGTTCACCACTGCGCCACTGACCTCATATCAGGCATGACTGAATCACCATGTGTGGGCTCTCAGCTATATTCGCTTGTGAGTACGATCGCCTCGGGAATATAGAAAATAGTTGTCTTGGTACAGTTGATTACCCTGCAATTAAGACTTTCGGGACTGAGCGAAATTTCCCAGCTCATTGAACGTGTTAGGCGATATTTGAGATTAGTGATAAGTAGTCGGGGGGTTGGTTGATTTATATTGATTTTCTATGGATTATGACAAGCAACTTGTCGAAAACAATAGAGAATAACGAACGATCACGAATCAGACGAGGTCAAACCCGAACTTGAACCAATCTAGTCATTGTTTCCAAAGTGTATCGCACAAGCTGCGCTCCCAAA